GGTCACCTGATCCAGCCCTAACTATAAGCTTTATCAAAAAGGAACGTCTTAAGTCTAATCTTAAAGGTAGAGAGGGTGTCTGCCTCCTGAACTGAGACTGGGAGTTGGTTCCATAGGAGAGGAGCTTGATAGCTAAAGGCTCTGCCTCCTATTCTGCTTCTGTGGACTCTAGGAACCACAAGTAGACCTGCACTCTGAGAGCGAAGTGCTCTGTTAGGATGATAAGGCTCTACGAGGTCTTTAAGATATGATGGAGCCTTGTCATTAAGGGCTTTGTATGTTAGGAGAAGGATTTTAAATTCTATTCTGACTTTTACAGGGAGCCAGTGGAGAGAAGCTAATATGTGAGAAATAAGATCTGTCTTGCTAGTTGCTGTTAGTACTCTGGCTGCAGCATTTTGGATTAACTGGAGGCTTTTTAGGGAATTATTGGGACATCCTGATAGTAAAGAGTTACAGTAGTCCAGCCTGGAAGTAACAAATGCATGGACCAGTTTTTCAGCATCACTTTGAGACAGGATGCTCCTGATTTTTGCAATATTGTGCAGGTGAAAGAAGGCAGATCTAGAGACTTGGTTTATGTGTGATTTAAAGGACATATTCTGATCAAAGATGAGTCCAAGGTTCCTCACAGTAGTACTGGAGGCAGGAGCTATGTCATCTAAAGTAACTATATGATTAGACAGCAGATTTCTAAGGTTTTCAGGCCCAAGCACAATAACTTCAGTTTTGTCAGAGTCCAGTCAGTAAACATTACACAGTTTGACCGACTGTTTTGCTAGGCTATAAAAATGGTTACATTTTTCACATTCTCTGCAAGGTGACCACTACACTGTGTAACTTCACTGCTATAACAGAGACCCAGCACATCCATTTTAATTTCCATTATGGAAACCTTTGCTAGCCTGGGACTGTGAAGGTGAAAGGAACTGAAATGTTTAATGTTTAATTTAGACATCATCAAAATGATTAATCATTATGAAGTAGTGACCTGACTGTATGGCTGGAAAGCACAGGACAGGTCAGATGTGGAGGACTGAGAGCTGGTGAGTTGCAAATAAAACAACAGATGATCTGTTTCATGAAATAAAATGACTCTTGAACCATAGTGAGAAACTGACAACAGTTATTTTCTGACATCTAATCCAAGAAAAGTTTTATTTTTTTTCCTTCATCATAGGGTTGCTGTTTGCCAGCAGTCCATGATAGAAGTCTGAGCCTTTGTGTTACTGTAATTCTGGTAGTAAATGTTCTGATCATATCTTTTCAGGGAGGGACAGTTGTCACCGGAACAGTGGCAGAGAATGTATGGCCGCTGCTCTGGAAACGAGGTCTACCACATCCGCTTGAGTGACAGCAAGTTTTTTGGGGAGTATGATGGAAAAAGCTTCACTTATGCATCCTTCCATGCTCATAAAAAGTTAGTTTCAATAGCTCAATCTGGGCATATTATAATAATGTTTTATCTTGTTACATTATTTGTTGAGGCATCTGGATGCAAAAAAAAATAAATAAATAAATAAAAAATTGGAGCTGAAGCTTATACACTTGTTTTTATTTTGCCTCCTAGGTATGGTGTGTGTTTGATTGGAGTCAAGAGAGAGGACAACAAGAGCATCCTCCTGAATCCCGGCCCCCGCCACATCATGGCTGCCACCGACACCTGCTACTACATCAACATTACCAAGGAGGAGAACTCAGCCTTCATCTTCAAAGAGGAAGAGAAGCACAACAAGGGGGTGCCTGTCACCGGTCTCTATGACGCCCCCTCCAGGCTGCCTGTGCACAGCATCATCGCTAGCATGGGTGAGGAATTATGTTTATGTGTAAGAGAGGAAGAAGATCATGTTAGCTGCACCGGTAAAGATGTAGATTGCAGCCAGAGGCACTGATGTAATTGTTTAAAAGGGTTTCCATGTAAAAAGAGAAAATGGATGCTTTGTTGTTGCACACACACACTGAATATTTCTGAATGGTGGCTGTGTTGGTGATGCTCTATGCTTTTGCTGATTGTTATGCATGAATTTTTTCTTACATGCTTTTTTACTTTGTTGGCTGACATTACTGTGTTGTGCTTTTTCTTTGACCTGTGAAAGTTGATCAGGCCACTTCATATGGTAAGTTTGTGCATGACGCATCCCTTTTTACACTTATTTGCTATTTATAACATTTTCACAATTCATAGTAAATATTTCATTAAGTAACACTTCACTTAATTGTGATCTTTTTAAATAAAAATCACATTTTCATTTAAAAGATGAGATGCGTATTGTTCATGTATCATGTACCAGATATATGCATTGTACATATATCACACATCATATTCCAAGGAGCCAATATGATGTTTATTAGGGACACATAGATTAACAAACTTAACCCTGCTGTTCTGTTCATGACATTGGTGTTAGTTCAAGGGTAAAATTACTGTGATTCAGAAAGCAAGACATTTTTGCCTCCAGGTCAAAAGGTGACATGAATGTGGGTGGCTAAGATGCTGTACAAGCCAAACATGGACTATATTATAGCCAACATGAAAAAGGGGTTCAAGCACAAAAATGTTGTCTGAGATAAAATGTTCATGGGTTCATTATGATATTAGCAAAAATGCAGCATATGGAATTTCTAAGTAGTTTTATTTTGTAGCTTGCTGCTCATACAAGAACCTTGTGTAATTTTCAGGCACTGTAGCCATAGATCTGCAGAACCCTGATCCTCCTGAGGAAAGCAGCAAACTGATGTTACCAACAGAGAACGGCGCCGGAAGCCGCAGGCCGAGCATCGCACCTGTCCTAGAGATTGCTGACTCCTCCGCCATTTTGCCCTGTGACCTCCTGAGTGACCAATCAGAAGATGAGACCAATCAGTCAGATGACGAGGGCTCCGTAGGGTCAGAGTACGTGACGTGACTGTGGTTAAACTGTAAGGAAGAAGGGGACTAAGATGTCACTAAGCCAAATACATTTGGTGGCTCTGTAGGATACAGTATGTTCTATCTTGCAGCAATAAAAAAGTAATATGTCCCCATCATGCAAGTGCCCTCTGCCCTACTTGATTCTTTTCACCTATCCTCCTTTTCTTCATGCCTCGGTTGTTGTAGGAGGAGAGATGGATGTGTTTTGAATGGGCATGTAATCTGTGTGTTGATGCTCTAAGGTGTGGAAGTGGCAGTGATGAATGTGTATGTGATGAGGGAGGTCAGCACTGTTCCTCTTGAGCGAGGCTCATGTACGGTGTACTTGTATAATTCCTCACCCTTTAATGCTCATCTATCAGTTAGCCAGACAGATAGTTGCCATGATAGTTCAGCAAGTCAGCAGCTTTGTCCTCCTTTCTCTCTCTCTGTGGTTTCATTACTCTGAGATAGGTTCAGGATAGATTGGGTGCTTATGCCTTCCAGTCTGTACCTCATCCCATTCATGTCTGTCTGAGCAGCAGCTGTTCGACTTGGACATCAGTGAGTCTCGTAAAGTTGGACATACTGTAACATGGTCTTAACCTTTGTGCCTCTATTACTGCACCATAGGGCGCTTGAGTAGTTTTTCCTATTTAAGAGCTGCCAGAAGCAGTGGTTGGGAAGAAACTGCAGGAGACCCAGAAGAATAAAATCCAGGGTCCCACAGTGCCATCATGTGGGGATCAGGTTGTACACGCTTCTCTAAACAAAATCCAATTGTCTTTTATTGGTAAACCAGAGGGCACCCTGAAACTGATTAGGGTAATTGTGGCTGACACATTACAAATCAGGGGACACAGAACCAAACTGCCACACTTGCAAAACAAAATGAGACACAATTAAAACTAACCAGATGACAAAAACTTTGTAATTGTTGATGTAGTTAGTATTGAGCACAAATGAGTAATTCAGGCTTATAAACATCAGTAATTTGAGCAGAATCGAATGATAAACTGAAAATAAACATCTGGCAGTCATTCAGGTGATAGTTGGTTTGCTATGATGATGATGATGATGATGTAAATAATGAAGAGGGATTCATAATTCTTTGTGAGGTGGAAACATTTACACCATCATGTACAAGTCATTTTTTGACTGAAGTCCACACTCTTTTGTGAGTCTGTTTAGTAGTTCCCTCAGAGAAAGTCTGGGGGGTGGGCGAGGTTTTATAGAGGTTGAAATTAATTCTAGAGACGATGGAAACTCAGTTCAGAGGTGGGCAGCATAACTGATAGACATGTAATAAAAAGCCAATTTGTTCTTTGACAGTGATTAATTACAATGTTGTCAAAGTTTCATAGGACTTTTTCTCTGTTTTTCCCACCAGTTTTGTGAAGGGCTACCCTCCCAACTCGCCCTACATCGGCAGCTCTCCAACTTTGTGTCACCTCTTACCACAGAAAGCTGCATTCTGCTGCCTTCGCCTTGACAGGGTGAATTCACGCACAGCATAAGACAGAAGTAGCACAAAAACCCATTGTAAAATTTAGGGCCATGCTTTATTTTACAGGTCCTCTATTTGTCACCAGTTTTTAAATAAACTTTCCCCATAATTTCCTACAAACTATCTGGTATTTAGTTGTATAAATTACAAGGATATTTACCTGTCTTTCTAAAAAATGTAAATATAATGAGTGGGTACTTAATTACTATATCAACTAACACTTTCTTCATTTCCCTTTAAAACAGTACTAGATTGGAAATATTCTAGTAGCTAACAGCTAAATGCCAGTTAGTTTTTAGGAAACTATGAGGAAGGTGTTGAGAAAATTAGATGGAAAATTCATAATCTGTAAAATAAAGTGTTGCCAAAGTCAGACATTAATTAACCCCATCTTTTTATTTTAAAAAAAAACAAACAGTTATTTTTCTCCTAAGTGCTCAGTACAACTAAACCGGACTGATTTCCTGTTTATCCAGGGCTGTACACATAACAGCTTTGAGGACGCCAAGGCGTACGGCTTTAAGAATAAGCTGATTATAGTGTCTGCAGAGATGGCGGGAAACGGACTCTACAACTTCATCGTCCCTCTGTGAGCTTATTATCGACCAAGGAAGGAGCTCAACCCCATAGTGCTGCTGCTGGACTACCCGTAAGACTTTCCACCAAGTGTTTGTTTGGTTTTACTTCTCCTGTGATGTAAAAGTGCTAACATTTAATGTTTCTTATGTAGAAGGTTTTACAGTAACACATGTACTGCCCACAACTACATTAATGTACAAGCAAAGTTCAAAAGATGTAAAGACATCTGTAAGCACTTGTTTGTGTTTGGTGTATATTTACATTTGCTTATCAAGGCAAGTGGTCTTGAAATCGATTTTAAAATGCACCAGTGGTTTATATGTTTGCAATTTAAAACAGCTAAATTGTTTTCAGTATAGAATTGATAATAGCTGGAGCTCTGGCGTAGCTTTACTAAAGACATCATCTTTGCATTATTCATAAACAACTGTTCTCTCTTAAGGAGAGGATGAATGGGGCCATTTATTGTGAGATTTTGAGCAACAACCTCCTTCCCTCAGTCAGAGCATTGAAGATGGGTCGTGGCTGGGTCTTCCAACATGACAACGACCCGAAGCACACAGCCAGGATAACCAAGGAGTGGCTCCGTAAGAAGCATATTAAGGTTCTGGAGTGGCCTACCCTCAGGACAAATTTGTCCTATGGCTCACATAAGGGTGTAAAATTATTATAAATTCATAATTTTTTCCACTTTAAATGAGCCAATCATTTAAAACTACTCCTGCCTGAAATATACATATTAAACATGAATTATATTTTTGGAATTTTTAACCCTTTCTATGCCAGTATGTTTACATAACTCCATTGTTTTTTATGGAAAAAAAACAAACTAAGATATTTTCCAAAAAATACATTTCAACCAGTATTTGATTATTATTATTATTACTACTAGGCCCTGAGATGGGTCAATGGTTGGTAGCAACACTGATTTGGATGCATTTTTTAATTTTATGCAGTAGCAGAATTACAATATCACTGTACACTGATTACCCTCGGGACAAATTTGTCCCACTTCCCAAAAACAACTGTAAAAATATATATTATTATTACCCTGTTGTGTTCTAAAAATAAATTTCAAATGCAAGATCAGTTTGAACCAGAAAACACTTATTTTACAAAGATGAACACTAAATATTGAACACTAACACCTCACTCTCCTGCTCCTGAGCAAGGGCTGCAGATCCACATGCTGTGGTCCTTGCACAGGAACCTCTCACATTTGCAGCATACATGTCCTGCTTTTCTCTTGTCTTTACAAAAGAAACATGGCTTTCTGCCCTTGGTTTGCTGTGAGAAGGGCCTGCAGCAGCAGCAACACCCTGAAGGTCGGTCACCACATAGTGTTTTTAATGGGTTTAAATGGGGACAAATTTGTCCCGAAGATCAAAAGTGTGAGTATTTTTGTAGTTTTGTCATTTTAGGCTAATTTAAGGAAGTGAGACCACAATTTTTAAGTTTTTAAAAAATAAATATCCTGTAGCAAATTTGAGCTACATTCATTCAGCACAGCTAAAATGGCTTGAAAAAGAAAAATGCAAAACCCAAATTTGTCCCTGAAGAACTCTTAAAGTACCGTAGTTAAAAGTAGCTACAACAGTAAAATGCTGCTAACACATTGATGCATCAGTGGGTCATTGTTACTTCTAATAATAACACGAGTCACAAAACAAGTAATTCCTATGGATGAAATGCAGGTGCTAATACAAGTGTACTTGTTATATGCATGACTTTTCCCTGTAATGGAGTGTTTACTGTGTTGGTACTGAAGTGATGGGAGCTGCGGGAGTCTGGACATGTGACCCTCCACACAGGAAGAAGAGTCAAGTAATGAGTCAGAGTAGTCCACACGAGTCTCTGACGCCTCCTGCATCCAGACAGCAGTAGCATGCCGTGCGGCGCTGTGCTCGGCCTGTGCCAGTATGAAACCAACAAACTGGTCCGGCTCGGCTCTCTGAAGTGGAGTCTGAACGCAGCCATCCTACTGTTTATCTGGTGAGTGGACGTACGGGCTTTCAGCCCCCGCATCTGCGCTGCAGGCTCGGGGAGCGGCCGGCATGGCTCACCGTCACAAGTCCCGTTAGAGCGGGATACAACCGGATAGAGAGGGCTGTAGCCAAAAACATATTGACCGATCATTGATAAGGCGGTTTGTGGTGTCTGGAACTTTTTGTTTAAAAATACCATTGTTTAAATGGTGCAGTCTTTTTTTTTTTTTTTAAATCTTCATTTAACCTTCAGGCAGTCGCTCTGAGATTAAAACTCTACATTCCAAGCCATGCAAAACTTAAGAACCATGCACAGTGTTTTTTGCTGTGCTCAGACTGTAGACTCAATTGTAGATCAGGGATTTTATAGTGGGAAGTGGGAGGGAGGCAGAGAGGAGTGTGAGGGCAACCACATGCAAACAGACTGTCATAATGCTGCATTCAAGTGCTTCTCTTCAGCTGCAATCGGCCAGCTCAACAGGCAGAAATAAAACTACTGTTAGACTCTGATATCAACACTAATCTTGTAACAGACAGTCTTTTTTTTCTCTTGCTGGCCTGGCGTCCATGTTCACAACCACCTGAATTCAATGTCTCAACAAGTCAGCTATCTTAGGAAGTCCTGGTTTCCCCCACTCATACCTTGTTGGGTCACTCATGTGGAACTGAAGTAATAATGTAGTATCTGAGATGGCACCTAAAGGCAGCTATGCCCAGCAGTCTGGCCATCACATGATAATGGGAGAGATCAGACAGCAGCAGAGAACAGGGAAGTGGTTATAGGATGAGTAATACCCAGGATGGAGAGATGCTGCCCCTGGGTGATTTGTCAGCATTACTTTCACCAGAGCTGTAGCCAAATTGACAGCATCCACTATACCCCAGTTAAAAAGCTTGATCCTCTAGATTTTCTGTTAACAGTAGAGAGCTAGGATCAGGAGATAAATCACCGGAGGTTTTAGACAGATCTTTTATCAGGATTTTGTACTTCCTCATCCTGTATGTAACATTGATAAATGTTGGGGAAGTGCTGACTTTCAGCTGTAATCAGGTGATATTAACATTCAAGTTAGATGTAGATTTCAAGCTCTTGTACAATGGGTTATTATGAAATTAAAAATGGAGAATGTAAGTCTGTAATAATTTGGAACATTGTCTAGGTTCTATATCAGTCATGCTGTAAGTCATTTGCTTTCTTTGTTTGAAGCTGAATTAAATTTAGTTTGGAACCTAGCTCAAAGAATGGCACTAGATTTGTTGGGCACAGTTTCACTTGTCCAAATAAGCAATACACAAATAGTGCTGTTACTGGTGAGAGCAGATATCAGTTCATTTTGTAAACACAGCTGCCACCATAGCTCCTGACAGTGAGGTCAGGAAAGCACTCCGTGTTGTGTACCCAAACTACCACTTGAGGGCAGCATTTCCTTAAAAACAGCTGTATTTGCTTAGACGTCAGTAATGGAACAATCAAGTGTAGTGGTTATTTAATGGATATATAACAAAGGGAAACTGAGCAGCTGAGGTGTTCCTGGTGTTTTTGTGGTTGCATCACAGCAGTCAGAGTTGTCTTTAGCACAGCACGGACCCTGTGTTGACTTTAGAGGCTGATACACATATGCAGTAAAAGTTAGTTGTTTATTAGAGCTGGAATGAATAACTGAAAGAAACATGTTTTGGCAACTTTTCATGATGGATTAATTGAGCCATTTTTCAAGCAAACTCTTCTGTAGACCTTTCCTCTGCAGTGTGAACTTGTCGCTGTTTTCTGTCATTTCAAACCGAATCTGCCCTAATGTGACAAAGGGCAGGCTTCACATGAGATCGAGACAACGCGGAAAAAACGATAAGGGAAGACAGAACGGAAAACCAAATAAAGGAAATCCTACCGGAATGCTCTGCAGTTACTGGAGATTCAGATCAACATGATCCAGCTTCTCTCTGACGTCAGGACACCTGGAGGATCACTGGCTCTGAAATACTTTCTGGTGCAGTGTGATTACTAAAATATACATTTTAAATAATATATGACAGGTCTTATAAGGGGCTGGTATAAGAGAAACTTACCAGCCATCAACCAGCGATGTACCTGTGCTGGATAGTGTTAATTTCCCACTATTTAATGGTAAATAATAGAATAGTAAATCTACTGTTATTATTATTTTATGTGCTGACATTTGAGGCTTTCTTATTTTACGCATTTTGGATGCCCCCATCTTTTGTTTAATCTCTTTTGGTTTGGTATCTGTTTATCCTTCTCTTGTTTCAGGGCAAGGACAGTTATGCACAGGTAAGATACACATGTGCTTGTTTTGTATTTGGATATTTCCACTAGCTGTCACTATTTGCTCAAATCAGGCAAAGATGAAGAATACCCAGCTGGCATTTTTCTGGCATCGATCAATGTGTAAAGTTCATAACCATTTAATGTTGTTGAAAAATAATAGTGAGAAAATTGCACACAGAAAAGCATAAACAAAAGAAGCTTGCTGCTTTCAATGTCATACAAATGGGTATTTGTTTTAAATTTGGAACAAAAATAATAGAACGACACAGTTAAGGTTCACACACACACACACACACACACACACACACACACAGTATCCAGCATTAACAGTTACCCTGTTCTCCCAGTCTCAGGTGTCTATTAACGCAGAGCAGGGTGAGGAGCCTCAAAAGCATGGAGAGCCCTGGAAGGAGAAGGCGGCACACAGAAACTCCACCATGAGCGACCAGTCGGAACGCCCACTGCTCAGGAAGAAGAGCATGCAGTGGGCACGGCGGCTCAGCAGTCTAGTCGAGCTGAGCGTATCTCGCAGCAGAGACTCAACCTGTACCGACGCTCTGAGCGCCAGGAACTGTCTGAGCTGGTCAAGAATCGCATGAAGCACCTGGGCCTGCCCACCGTCGGATACGGTGAGTAGAACAACTGACGGTGTGGGGTGTAGAGCAGTGATAGGCAGTGGTCCGTTATGTTATGTAGAAAATGACTTATAAAAGTTAGCATCTAATTCAATGCAATATTTTACAATACGTTACTTTACTGTATAGAGCGACTAATGCAGTATAGGTCAATATTTACAATTATTTAACTTAGGATTTGTTTTATTTACACTGAACATATAACTACCCAATTATAACAAATCATAATGTACCTGAAAATGAATAATAATGCAAATGTGAATGTTTGTTGCAGATTGGAGACTCTTCTCTAAATATTTCTTTATGGTCACAGCAGTTCTGCTGGCAGAATTAATGTCACTGGTTGAGTTGAAACCTCAGTGGGTGAGGCCCGAGAATTTCAGGCCAAGCTCATTTAGCTAATCTACAGTTATAGTGAAGTGCCTGTGACTATTTTTTTTTTTTTTTTGTCTGTCTAGCAGCAGGTTTTCCTTTAACTTTATGTACAGTACTTGATCATTTCTACAAAATTAAACTTTTTTATTTTTATATAATATATAACGCATAATAATAATACATGTGGCAAATATAGATTGAAAAACCTATGTGGCGTGTACTGTAGAGTTGGCACAAAAAATCCACTAATCAATAATTTCATGGACAGAAAATTAGCAACCATTTTGATAATCAATTCATCATTTCAGTTATATTTTTTTAAGCAAAAATGACAAACTCCCTGGTTCCAGTTTCTCAAGTATGAATACTAGATGGTTTCTACTGCACAGTGTTTTTTATCATAGTGAAATAAATGTATTTGAGTTTTGCACAGATCATGTATTACATGTAAGGTTGAGGCTTTTAGGAAATGTTCAGTAGAAGTACACTTTTAGGACCCTTCTTAGATACCACCTTTTGTGAGGAATGTTTGAGCCATGCCAAAAGCTCAATGGTCTTGCACAGACATTAGCACACAGAGATGCAGTTTTCTGTATAGCATTTAGCTTTTTAACTGGACTTCAGTCACATGTGTGCAGTGTTTTCTGTGAAGCGGCAAGTTTCTAAATAGGCAAAACATGCCATTGGATTTGGTTTTATCCCTCATCATGTTACACTCTTTAGTTAAGGGGCAGTGTAAGCTTTAATTAGGTCACATTCATTGATGGAGGGAAAAAGCCACAATTATTTGTAGCTAATGAAGCCTGTACATTCAACCTGCTAGATTGATGTAAGGTAGATATTTTGCCCTACCCACTGAACGATTTCTGCTGTGAGAGCAGCTCTGTTTGAGAATCTTATTTAAAACTCCAATCTGCATTTCAGTCATTTGAACTATATTGTGTTATTCATCTCATTTCCTCTTAAGACGTGGTGTTGTGGGTCTGAACAGATCATTAACATCACACTACATCATCATCATCATTAACCTCTATTTTCTCACATCAGTTTCACCCTCATTAAACTCTTCCCCGTTGTGCCATAACTCATACACATCACTACATATTCACAATCATACCAACATGTGAATATGACCGGTGTGGGAGCACAGTCACCAGTTGTCTCCAGTCTTATCCGCTCATTTCTGTCCTTTTTTTCCTTTAGCTCCTCTCTCCTCCCAGCTTCACGCTTCAAACTAAAAGCAGAATCATGCTCCAGATGTGTTGGACTTAATAATATTATGTGACATGTCAAATACGTTTCAGGGAGAACCCTAAAAGCCCCAGACCTTCATAAAAACCATGAATGTCAGTGAGGATTACTGCAGCAGGATGATAACGTGACAGATGAATAATTTGGACACACTAATGCATGGCTTCTTTGCATTGCTGTCACTTTTTAAGAGTTCTTTTAGAAACTGCAAATGCATTCGCTGCCGGCCTGACCTTTTCTCCCCTCATCTGTTCCTCTCCCTTCTTTTTGTCTGACTCTTCTCTCTTTCCTCCTTTTGGCTTGTAGAGGATGTTTCTAATCTCACTGCAAGCGATGTCATGAATCGAGTAAATCTAGGATATTTGCAAGGTAATCTGTGTGATGTTTATAACTCATTCACAACATGAGTGTTTATATTCATCTTGTACAGAAAGGAACATTGTCCTTTCACCAGCATCCATTGAAGAATAGTGCACTGAATTTACCCACAGAAGTACAAATATTCATTTGTAGATGTTTGTTCTCTTCACATTTTGCCTCATATGTTATCAATATATTTATTCTGTGGTTAATTATGCATTAACAAATTAGGCCATTGAAGTTAACAGTGAATGCCATTGCTTAGAGTTGCAGGACATTTCAGAGCACCCGTATACAGAGAGGACCAGGCTGTCAGGTCAGCTGGTTGCTCACAGTATTGCAACTTTACTGCATGAGTGTGTGAGTGTGTTTCCTGTCTGAATGAGTGGTGGATCAGCAGCCAAGCTATCTCGTTCTACTATCTCCCTTTTTCTCTTTGGTCTTTTCTGCATTGTGTTTCCGTGAGGTGACGTCCCAAAGGGCTAGATTACTGCAGGGCATCAGAGCTTAAAGAGTGGAGCTGAACACATTGTCTGTGGATGGAAGGTTAGATGGATGAAATATAGAACTTCCTCAACCAAATGCCACCCTACTTCACATCGTGGCATTCTTCATCTCTGCCTTGTTTTTTTCCCTATATATCAAAACATCCCAAAGTGTATTTTCAAACTTATACCACGGCTGCTTGATCACAGTCAAAAAGATGCATCATGTTTAAAAGGTCTTCGTCTAGTTAGTTTATGTAGGCTTTGGTCTGTTTGGTCAGTTGGATTTAACTGGAACTACTGCTCTGTTTGCCTGCAGCTGAATATATCTTGTGCACTGACTTAGAGTGGTGGTTAACCTGTCAACAACTATAAGGCCAGGAAAACCTTTGTTGCTCTGTAGTCAGCACACTAGAGTCTAAATGAAACATGACTGTGATGTCAGTGATTTAATTTTAAAAAACTAAATCACTTATTAATCAGCTATATATAATGGGCTGACTGCACAGGACACATTCTCCAGTAAACACCACCTGCTGTGACAGAGTGTGAAAACTAGTTACAAGTGAGCAGAATGTCTACATGGACTGTGAAAAGTTCTTGTTAACTGGTTATCAGTTCATTGTAGTACGAGTGCAAACCTGACCAAACTTACTTAAAAGACCACCCTAAACACTGACGCGTCCAGAATCGCTCTGTCTGCTATGAAAGTCAAACAGTATCCAGTTCTACATTTAAAGATAAATATTATGAAGTCTAATATTCAAGTGAACATGTAGAAATTAATTAATTAGGCTACAGAACAAAGAATGAGAGAGAGAGAGAGAGAAGTCCTTTGCATAAAGGCTAGACTCCGGGCTTCACTGCCTTTAGTCTAGTTGTCTGTCTGCATGATTAGGAGTGGGAGCCTGCTGTAATAACCTAAAAACTGGAGGGCTATGTTTAAAAAAAAAAAAAAAAGACTGCATTTTAAACAGTCATTGTTTCGTTTGCATATCTATTGTATAAAACTACAGAGCTACAACAACGAAATGACTTAAAATTTCCATTTTTATGAGGTTTATTTTATTTTCTCCAGTTTAAGCAAAATGTGTACTCACTCTTTTCAATGGCCACGGTATATTATGTATTTCATACACTGAGTAGAGGGGGAGAGAAATTGGTACAGTCCTTAACATCCCCCGCATAGATCCTGCAAGAACGTTGTCTCTCCACCTGCTGGGGGCTTTTTTAGCATCATGAAGAAATGTACTGACGACCCAGCAGAAGGTTGCCCTCTTCCACTCTCACACTCCCAGTGTGTTCTGCTTCACGCTGAGTTTGGTTTGGTCCAGTCTGAGGGATGCTGGAGCATGTCCTCTGTGTCTGTGTCACATGTCACTCGGTGGGGGTTGTGGTGGCTGAGTGTCGTCGTTGGCATGGCAACTTGCCGCCTTACCAGCCTGCTGGTCTGATGTGGAATGTGCAGGAGAACAGAGGAATGCAATCGAGGTCAGTGTTGTGTAGCCACGACCGCTGTCTGCATGTTGGGTCCGTTCTGAAGCTGCGCATGGGGTTCTGTTTGAGTCAGCAGGCAGCATGGGCCTCCCCTTGTTCCACAACATGCCCTGTCAGTAACAGTTAGCCCTTCTCTCTCTTCCACCCTGCCTGGCTTTATAAAGGCCCGCAAGCAGGTGGGATGTCATGGAGACATGTGCCCTCATTTCCCTTGTGCTGTCCGTCACACGACGCAAGTAGGAGCCGCCGACAAAGAACACTCAGCACACACACACACAATAACAGGAGCTATCTGGGGAATGAATAGTTGATGGTCAGTCCCTCTGATTAGGAATAAAATAAAATAGGAGCTTCCATGGTCAGCGTAATCACGAGCTTTGTTACAAATGTTAATTTTTACTGTTGATATAATAAATGTTTAATGCAGAAACTGTTTACAGCTATTTAGATATAGGGAGGATAGTTTCACTGTAAAGCTTTACAGGTACACTTTTCCATGAAAATCAATTTACAAATTTTAGTTTTGAATAAAAGAGGAATTATTAAAATTATACAACTATTTAAATCAAAATCTGTTGATTGACAAATTTATCAATAACTAAAACTATTTTAACATCAAATAATAAAAATAAATCACTTTGACTAGATAAACTGTCACATATATAAGTAAGTATCAACAAAACATTCGTACATCAATAATTACAGCTAGATTAATAATCTGCCAGACAGAAGAACTGGCCGATATTGTTGGCGGAAATGTGGATGGAGAAGAACAGAATAACAGAGATGCTAGTTTAAGTTTGAAGTAACTTATAATCTCATTTTTCAACTGTAAATGTGAGTATGTATCCTGGTAACAGGAAAAAACATATCTTATCCTGGTAACAGGAAAAAAACATATCAGGACTGTTTAGGTTATGTTCATGTTGAAAAAAAGCCAACATAACATACAGTATGATATTTTTTTTTTTTAAGATTGTAAATGTATCTAATTGTGAAAGTAGCTATTGGTATGGAGAATTTTTTTATTAACTTGTAATAGTTAACAGTTGTAACAAGCATCTCTTTACTTTATAGCTGGTCTAGGAAAAGAGTGTTCAATACCTATTTTCATACCACTTGGTCTTATAGTATATGTGGGTTACTTTGCCTTTGTCCTCACTGGACGCTTGGCCACGAGAAGAGAGGGCTGGCTGATCTGCTGTCTAATGAAGGAGGCTCCAGAGCAGCTCTGAAGCTATTGTCTGTTTCTTTTTCTAGACGAGATGAACGACCACCAGAACACCCTGTCCTACGTCCTCATCAATCCTCCTCCTGACACCATCCTGGAGCTCAACGACATTGTGTAAGGACCAAAGCAGAGAACATTTTCCTTTTTTTCCCCTGATCCAGTAAACTTCCATTAGGTAACAACTTCATTATGCCGCTAAGGTAGTGAAACAGTAGTAGAGAAAATTTGGTGCTGCCGGTATCTGTCTGCACAACATTAGCATTAAGTCAACGCTGCAAGTGTAGCCAAATTGCCTTTAAAGGTTGCTTCATGTCATCAGATGACTGAAACCACCCCCACCAGCTCTCTCATAGCTAAATTAGCAGCGGAGGCCTGTGTCCGTGGATGCATTATGAGAACAGGATAGCAGATTACCAAATGGCACCCAATCTCTCAGGTTTGCTTCCACTTTGTGGAATCCAATGCACATGCACATTAGTGTTTCCCCCACCGGCCCCTCCCATCCACGTGTTCAGCCCATAGATTTTACAATGTAATGACATCACAAAAATAAAATTTACAATGACCTGGTTTAGAGTTCGACGTGTCCTGTCAACAGTTGACAGTGTCTTCTGTCATTGTTGTATATGGGAAAACTGCTTTTTGGGCCCCAGGAGGATTTTTACATTGCAGTACCACGAGTGGCCACTGGGGACAAATTGCATCCAGCTTTCATAATACATTCATGGATCTGGCCCACAAATTCTTGAAATCAATTTCTGAAATCATGCCAGTTGAGGAGGTGAGAAAGTATGCAGGGTTTGAACTTTACACAGTCACTTGTCATTTTTAGTGTGTACAACCAAGTACCACACTGTACATGCGTTTGAGGAAAAACTGACCAAAACTGTGCACCGATGTCAACATTTGCACACTGTGTCTTGGTCCTCTCTACAATGGCCAACATTTCACTGTGCTGTCAACCATAGTCAGTCAGAACAAATATGAACGCTCCTTCTTTCAGACAGCTGGTTGTATGAAGACCAATTTAGTTCAAACATATCAGAACCTTGAGGCTACTAATGTGCCAAAAATTTGACAGTCAACATGCAGCTCAGGTTTTAATCCAGATTTCCACCATCTTGCTCACATGCTGCCAGATTGTTGAATTGAATTTTTTTTTTTTTTTTTTTTGTACATTATCCGCTCTGACCCGCTGGCACACATGCCAGAGGACTCACAGGTGGGACAGGCCCACGGTACCAGGAACCAACAGGACTTTGGCACAGAGACAAGAGACGAGACTCACCTCTGAAACCCCCCACAGTCCTTAACACCCTGACCCTTAACTTTTAAGCCCCACCCAGGCCGACAGAGATCTTTTGTCTCACAAAGATGAAGCCATGTCTCGGGCCAAGAACAGCTGTCCATAGTGAAAGTGCATTACACATCTCTCAGTCTCAGACCAGAAACAAACAACATCTTAAGACGACCCTGAGAGACCACTGAGCTGCTACGGGAGGATGCATGAAGAGTGCCTCGTCATCGACCCCCCTCCCCCAGGCAGACGTACTGTACCTACACATCACCCTCACAAACTGAGAAGCAAGCACTGGGGACAGCTCCCTCCTCCCAACCAAAGGACAGAGGGCTTTGATGAGTTCTTCGGACAGTGACAGGAGCTATTTGTGAACATACAGGATGGTGCATGAGCATTATACTCAACCTGTTTTGCTCAGGGGTGACGTTGCCCTCGTGCCATGACTCGGGCTGACTGACGCCCGTAGCTACACTTACAAAATAACTGAATCTCGGAGAAACTACACCCTCCTCCACATCTTAATACCTTTTCTAAAGAAATGGGTAAATGTTTAGAATATTTAGCTATTCATTTACCATGAAATTACAGTACATGTGCAATTTTCCTAATTTATTACATTTTAACTGTTTGTATTCAGACAGGATTAACATTAACTTAATAAGCACTTTTTTAAGTGAGATTATCTGTAGTGGCACTCTAATCAGATGTGTTAGCATTTTGTTGGGTTTTTAAAACTGATTTTTGTTGTAGTAATTGTTCAAGTGAATACTGTTAAGTTATTTCACAATTTCAAGTGTCCCAAATAATGTCAACTGTAACGTTACAATTGGTTTACTCTGCTTTTTTTTTTGCTGTATATCTTTCATTGGTTTATACATTATGTGCCATTCTGTTATATGATAACAGTTTTTGATTATATCATGTATATGTGGTATAGAAATGCCAAAAGAAAAATCAGTAAATTGGCATAAATGTATCCCTTTGTACTGTAACAACTTCAGCCATCAAAATCTAATCTGATGTTAATAATACAAGCTTGCCCCCAGAGCTCAGTTATAGCCGATAGGTTTTATCTGTACAATGTCTCACACATTACATAGCATTTTTTTTACAACTCTTTAATGACAAATTTTAAAGTAACAGGTGGCCTAAATTTAGTCAAATATGCTTATTCACTTTTCAGAGTTAAATCAGAAGCTTGACACCAGCCTCATACCTAGATGTAAACATGAAGCAGCAGGTGATTTGCTGTAGCTTCATATTTACTGTACAGGAATGAGAGTGGTTTGTCTTCTCATTTAACTCTCAGGAAGAAAGTGTTTATTCCAAAAAAATGTCAAGTTCCACTTTAACCTCCTTATCAGAAGTATTTGTTTACAACTATCCTGGCAGGAATATCAATATCCAATTGATTTAACCTCATGTCAGTATCAGTCAGGCTGTTTATTCTTTTAACTTTAATTCATCTGAATTCCAGGCGACTGGTAGCAGTTTTGCACAGTGACATCTATTCCTATCCTGTTACCCGTTTCCAAATTCATTTGAAACATACTGGAGCAGAAAATGAAGTGCTCTCTTTTCCAAACTGACAGGCCATGCATTGTGTATACGACAGGGTCCGTGCGCAAAGTGTAATCTTGATTTGTCATTTCTCAGCTGGATGTCCGGTTTGATCACTGTAAATACTAACTTCACCTATTCACTGTTTTCCATTTTGTTCTTTCAGTCTTCTGTGTGATAAAACGTGAACGAGGACTTGAACTAATTTTGCACTAAGCTCTGCGGGGATGTCTAGAGCGCAACAGCATGACCCTTTAATCTGAATCTGTACGACACGGCAGACAGTATTCAACCATTCCTGTAACTCATTATAGGCATTTGTTTTACCTTGCACATGTTTGCAAAGCTTTCTTTACCGTGTGCCATTTTTATTTTTCATATGTCTGAGGAATATCAGGCGAAAGTAATGAAGTAATCTTAGATGGCTTGGTCTGCCAGTTTAGTTTAAGGAATCAGTATATGCTTTTTTCATGTTTAATACTGTGTATTTTGTTGCAATGAAATGTGCTGTCAATCTTTGCTCAAGTTTACAGGGACAGCTGAGTGAAAACGTGAGTGAGATGACGCGATCAGCGAGCAGATCCATTCACTTAACGTCTTCCTGGATCCTCACTTCTGATAAGTCTTAATGCTCCATAGAGCATTAAGACTTATACTTACAATACAACAAGGGGCATGTACTGTAAAGGCTACAAAGCATGTTTTGATACACAAGCTTGCCAAGAACAATACATTTATACATTTAACAGGACATCTGCTGCTAGAGGAACCCATAACCAAGTCAGCTGCTTGCCAAGTTGGAGCCATTATTTGATAATGTGTATTTATATGAATGGAACATGCATGAGGTCTCAAAAGCCTATGTATTATGTTTACCGTCACTTTGTTTTTAAGTCATTGTCAAGAAGGGTTTGATCCATTTTGTACTATTTCTTAAGAGAAGCAAGTGCACTTCTCTCTCTGTATAAAATGTGAACAAATAAATGCTGCATGCAGCCAGATCGAATTAATGTTTTTATTTCCTCTCATTTTCAAACAGCAAGAGGAATATTAAGATATCACATGCAGTTAACGTATAATTTTACAGTTGACAGTCACAGTTTTCATTTCATCATGGTGCTATTATTTACCCACCACTAAAGGAATAGTTTGACGTTTTGGGAAATATGCTTATTCGCTTTCTGTCATCGTCATGGCTGTTAAAGATCAAGCAACATGAGATTGCAGCATTTTCAGGGCAATTCTTCAGCAGTCAACATCCACATGCATTTTCTTCAGGAAATGCATTTGTCTAGTTATTTTAATACGTTTTATTTACTGTTAATAATATTGAGGATTGGACTGTAGTGGACAAATGTGCCTCTTTGGGTTCTGGGTAATAGTGATGTGCACTGCTCAATATTTTAATCGGTTTATTAACACTGCCTCAACCAAGTAAAACAAAATGCTGCTTAATAGATCAGTAATAATAACCCATTAATATACAACAGCACAACAATCCAGACACCAAATAAATGTGTTCCTCAACATGTCAAACTGTTTCATTAAGTGTTGACTTTAGAATTTTAAACTGCAGCAGCAGGTAAAACCATTTTACTTAGAGAGTGCTAGAATAAAACTACCAAGCAGCGTGTGATGATAGGTGTACAAAACTTTTTAAAGTGATCTGGCACCTCGTTCTTAATGCCCCTGCTTGTTGGTGTGCGTTCGCTTCCACCTCTCACGGGTCCAGCGGCCGTTGTTCTGCACAACTTCATGCAGCAGGTCCATGAAGGCATACTCGTTGCCGGACAGCAGCGTTTCATCATCTGGCGAGGCACCACCAGAGGGGGCCTTTGAGCCAGTGGTTCTGTTTTCTCCTCGCTGTCTGCTCATCACTGTTGGCTTTGCCTCATTACTGTCCTCTGGCTTGTTGTTGGGCTTGTGTCCATGTTTTTCTGCAGGTTTGTGGTATGGATTTTGTCCAAGATTCAGAGTTGGGGTTTCACTGTTTGCCTGTCTCTCAGTGGCTGCATCCTGGATCGTTTCCTTTTTCTTTAGTCCATCCTCTAGCCTCTTGTCAGTGTGGGTATCAGCCTCACTGACAGGAGTGGTCTTGTCATTTGGGTTTGGGGAACCTTTTAATGGAGCCGTTTGTAAATCTGCTATTTGATTTTTCTCTGTTTCGCCTTTCATCTGGTCCTGATCAGAACCAGACGGATGCTCCACTTTGTTTACAATTTTCTTCAATTCACCTGAGAATTTGAAAATTTCTTTTTGTGTCCAAGCAGCCATGCCACCAGACCTGTCCTCTTCCTCTTGCATTTTACATCTTGCCTGCCACTGAACTGCAGTCGGAGGCCAGGTGGAGATCCTCCCCATGACCTTTCTTGTCAGTGATTTTTGAACCGGACTGTCAGTGAACTGTTTGTGGAGCTCATCAGGGTTTGCACCATTGCTCAGATAAGGTACCGTCTCAGTGAGGACAGAAACACGGTGGGTGTTTTCATCTAGAATTCTACCAGCGTCTGCTTGTTTCTCTTTTTCCTCAATGGTGTCTGAGAGAGTTTCTGTCTGGATTCCTCCTGCTGCTTCAGTTTCATTTACCAGCTTTGATTTTCCTTCCACTTGGTTTGCTGTGTCTGTGGACTGGGCCTCTGTCTCTTTTTGAAAAGTAACTTGATCTTTCCCTGACACACAAACAGGAGACATCAAGAGAATAGCATTAGCTGACTTAGCTCTGACTCCAGTAAAAGGCCTCCTCCAAGCTGCTTCCTGGTCTCTCTCCTCAGAGTGTCCTGGTGACCGATCCCGCATGGATCTGCTGTCTTCTTCCGGCTTCCTTCTTTCTTCTTTTGTACGTGCAGGTATCACAGCTTTGTTGTTGCGCTTCCTTCTGTGCAGCGCTGCCAGGCAACGTGGTTCTGGGGTCACACAAGTTTCTAGAAGGAAAGACAGACATATGAACATTATAATATACACATTAGTGGTGGTCTTCTGATTTTAGACTTTCAAATATCAAACAAAAGCCCAAAGAATCAAACATACCAGTATCTCCGGTATGCGGAGGGACCGTTATGGGCATGTCAGTAGGACTGAGGTGGACAAAAGTTTGTGTTTCTGATGGTGGTGGTGTTGATGGAGGTGAAGTCACGTAAGTCGCTAGAGGGAACAACAAAAAAGCTAAATAACCAGGCACTGTGAGTACACACCTCACCAGTCTTGTGAATGAGTTATATAATAGAAATGTTTTAGAAATGTTGACTCTACGTCAAAATAAAGTCAAGAAACACTGGGAAAACTTGGGCATTGTACAAAGATGAAATGTGCAAACTTTCAAGCCAGGACCACTGATTGATGGTTCACTTTATCATGTTGCTGTGATGCCATCTGTAGCACATTTTTCAGGATAACAACATAGGGGTGTGTGCTCATCTAAATGTAGTTAAGACATTTTCAGTGCATTTAGGAGTTATGTGAAACATTACAACTGATGATGGGAAAGCAGCTTGGCATTATAAATATATACACTGATCAGCCATAACATTTAGTTTGAATCTTTGTTAAAATGGGTGAAAATGATAAACACTGTACATTGGAAAAGAAACATTCAGGGGCCATAGTTCCTGTGTCAATGTGTTTTCAAGCATTGAAGGATAATGTCACAATTTAACATTTATGTGAAAAGTAATATGAGAAAAAAATAAACACTTTCTCTGAAATATTACAAAAAGAGCAAAATATTCCTACTTTAATCTCAAACACCTAAACGGGGTCCTAACTATATTTTATGTTATGTTTCAAATTAGAAGAAAACTGGATGAAATTTATGGGAAAATGTGTTTTGCATCAATTGATTCTGGCAGAAATGGATGGGTCTACACTCAGATTTGTCTTGAGCAAAACAAGTTAACTTGGTGTTTTGGCCTTCACAGTGCAGAAATGATGAATGAGAAAAATCACAGGAGTGGCCACATGGTGGTGCTGCACCACAAAAACCTAACGACAATGCATGGAACTGAAAATTCTTAGTTCATTTTTCAAATATCCTGCTAAGCAACAGTAAAAGACAAACGATAAAAATATTAAAAATCGGTGCAATGAGTCATTAATATTGTGTGTCAGCATATTAGAGCCACTGTTGTGGACAAATATATCTGAGAAGAATAAAGTTGAAGGAGTCAATGATTTAAAGAGCAGTGGACAATGGGGGATGTGGAGGTTTCAAAAGATAAGCATCTTATTATCAGACGTTTAATGATATTAAAATGACAGTTACTCGATGTGGGTGAACATAACACTTTTTTTCTCTTATGGCTTTTTTCTTGAAATTACACCTTGTTTCTCAGATCTTGATCTGTAAGAGTCTGATTCCATTGGTAAAAAGTTTAAATAGGAATACAACTAAGAAAAGAAGAACCAAATGTACCCGTCTTCATAGTGTCTGTAGTGAGGATACTGGTGGGTTTGGGGTGGACAGAGGTTTTTGTCTCTGTTGCCGTCCAGACTGGAGGTGCTGCTAGAGAGAACAGAGATACTAAACTCACTCTAATTGTAAAGAATTTCAGACATCAAGAAGAAGCACATGTACCAGTGTGCAGAGAGCGTGTTAAGGGGGCTTCAGTGGATTTGGGTTGGACTGAGGTCTTTGTCTTTGATGTTGGTCGTGACAGAGCTGCTGCTAAAGGGAACAACAGAGATGCTAAGCAAACACCGCCTAATGTAGGGAGCCAGTCACCATCTGGGGTCAGATAATTCTATTTTACAGGTCCTGTATTTTCCAGATAATTTTGTGGAGTCTTTTTTTCTTAAAAATACGAGTGAATATGTAATAACTGTAGCAACTGACGTTCTCTCTACTTCCCTTGTATTTAGCATCAAATTGCATCGGCCTTTCTCAAAAATATCCTAACTCAAAAGTATCCTCAACCAAATATTCACTCATTTTTAAACAAACTATGTAGAGAGTCTCCTGGAAATTTGTTGGACAGAAACGGTAAAATAAATCAAATTTCAAGCAAAAAACAAAAACTGAGACGAGAAAGAAGCAGATGTACCAGAGGACACAGGGACAGCTGTGACTACATCACTGGGTTTGGGTTGGACAGTTTGTATCCCTGATGGTGTAGGCGATGTCTCACACACTGACACGTTCCACACAGGTCGATCCTTCAGAGATGGTGGACTCTTACAGGTCACCTCCATCTCTTTGTCTAGTTGAGATCTGCTCTGTAGGTCTGAGAAGAGAAGCAGCTTTAGTTTTCTGAATGTTCTGTAAACACGCAGGACGTCTTGGTCTCACATTTCACAAACCTCTCAGGTAGTCGACAGAGTGCTTAGCGTCACACGAACAGTTCCAGGGGTTCCCATCCAGTCTGATCCTGGCAGACCTGAGAGAGCTGAAGACCTGAGGTGAGACCTGAGTCATCCTGTTCTCAGACAAGTCCAACGAAGTCAAGTTGGTCTGGGAGCTAAAACTTTTTGGATCAATGTTTCTGATTCTGTTCTTATTCAGATAGAGATTCCTGAGGTTAACGAGTCCAGTGAGCATAGACGCGTTCACAACTTCAATCTGGTTGTCTGCCAAGCTGAGCTCAGTGAGGACAGCAGGCTGGCTGAACCATTTTGGGTTAATCTGGGTCACCTGGTTATTGTTTAAACTGAGGCTTGTGAGGTACTGGAAGGAACCAAAGGCCCCTTCAGCGATTCCTGTGACACCAGCGTTGTTGATCCTGAGCCTGGTTACAGAGCTGAGGCTGTTGCTGCGAAACACCGTGGAGTTGATCTCACCAACGTTACGTAGAAACATCACCAAGGTCAAATAACCAGGCCTGAAATCTAAAAGAGTTAGAATCACAGTTACTGTGTAGAAAACCTGGGATTACAGAAGCCAGCTAGAAAAACAGCATCCGAATATATAGCAAAGGCATGTGTCCAGACTAAATGCTGGGAAGTTACAGACTGAAAAATTTGCAACCTTACATCTGCAGTTACCAACGCAGGCACAAGATCCATTAAAGGGAAACTCAGTGGCTCTGTGTAATTTGAGTCACCTACAAGATGACTGGTGCCAGTGTACTCATTAAAGTTGATGTTTTTGGACACTTGGGACTCAAAACCTCTCTCTGCAACTGGGTGCTAGACTTTCTAACAGGGAGGCCACAAAATGTGCCGGTCGGCAGCAACATCTCCAAGACCATCACGCTGAGTACAAGAGCTTTATAGGGGTGTGTGCTCAGCCCATTGCTCTTCACGCTGCTGACCCACGACTGTGTGCCAACCTGCAGCACCAACCACATTGTCAAGTTTGCAGATGACACAACTGTAGTTGGCCTCATTATCAACAATGATGAGGCCAACTACAGGAGTGAGGTGTGCCAACTGGTACAGTGGTATAAAGACAATAACCCCTTCCTCAATGTAGAGAAGACTAAAGAGATTGTTGTTGACTTCAGGAGGAAACCTCTAAAGCATCCCCCACTGACCATCAACGGTGCTGTAGTGGAGAGAGTGAGCAGCACCAAGTTCCTGGGGGTGCACATCTCTGAGGACCTCGCCGGGACCAACAACACCACATCACTGGCCAAGAAAGCTCAAACACGCCTCTACTTCCTCGAATCTGCTGCTGACTGTTTTTATATCTGCTGCTGTTGGTCATTTGCACCACTGTCCATGCGCATCTCAATCTGACAATCTTCTTGTTACCATTTGCACTACTGTCACTGATTGTACATGGTTTGAGTCATAGCCTATCAGGTTGTACCATTTAGTTTTATCCTAATCACTTTGATTTAGTTTTCTTATTCTTTTTAATCCTACTTTTATTCTATTTTAGTTTCCTAAATAGTATGGCATTCAATACTAGGTGAGAGAAACCGTATTTAGATTTTCTGTATGTTCTGCACATATAGTGAATTGACAATAAAAATCTTTGATCATCTATTTGTGCCAATATAGTTTTTAATCAGAGCCATTTCAAAGACCTGCGTTTGCTGCCATCTAGTGGTAATTATGCAGTGTGAGATCAACAGACACTGCACTTTTTGATAACCACAAGTGAGAGTCATTTTCAAGAATTCAGTCTCCAGATGTCAGTGTGACTCTGGCTGCTTCCTAAGTCTCTTACATGGGTCCCTCAAATGGTTCTTTTCCTTGTCTTAGTTTTGTGAGATGTGAGGAAAATGTGAGAAGAGAGAAAATGAGGAAACGTTTTAAGGGACATGAGATGTCCGTTCCTTCATCGGATGCATCCAATCACCGACTGATTTCCAATTAAGGAGCACGTCAGTCTGTAAAAGACTTCTGTGAAGGACACTCATGTATCCTGGCTCATGGGTCAGTCCTCACTCCTCAGGAGAGATTTAACCGTCTTAGGAGATCCTCTGTCTTCACTCGACCTCAAGTTGTTCCGGTCGAACGATCATATAAGAGACTTAATAAGCAACCCAGGTTTTTCAGCCAGGCCAGCATCACGGCTCTTGAGATGGCAGTGTTGGCCAGTTGGTCCACTACTGAAAAGGTTTCAACAACTTTTGAAGGGAATGGCATGAAATCAGGTAAAAATTTTGATGGCCATGGCACCGAGATCCACCAGTAATTACATTCCCATCGGCTTGTACTGTGCTTTTACTTGTTGCCTCTTTGCATTGATGTAAACACAGATGTATATATTGCACAGAAATGGCATCCCATACCAGGGGCCTGTTGCACAAAACTAGGATAAGGGATTAAGCCGGGATATCTTGGTGATCCTGGCTCAACTTATCCGTGATCCGGTTGCACGAAAGCTGGATTAGATTTCAGTAGGATGTTATGGTATAAATTACCATGGAGATTTATTCTGTGGAGCTAGCCTGCTCCAGACCAGGCTAAGTTCCAGGATTTATTTAATCTCATCCCTCATGTCAGTCAGCAGTCACCATTCACTGAGAATTAGAGACTTGTAGAGCGGCTGCAGATTTGCAGTCTCATTAACTTAAAAAATAAAATAAAATAAAAAAAGCTGTAGTGAGAAAGGAATCTAATCATATCAAAATCCAACATTCATTCAGCTCCATGTACTTTGTCTTGCAAAGTCTTAAAGACATATAAACGTTCTGAATCAAGCCAAAAGTGCTCACCTGAAGGGATGTTCTGGCAGATCAAAATCGGTCCTTCTCCAACACAAGAATGGCCCAACTGCCCACTGGCCAGCAGCAACACAAGAGTAGCAGCAACTGTGGAGAGACAGAGGAATCGCATTAGTATTGATCACCTTATCGTTTGCTACATAAACTACGAACATGAAATACTAGCACTTACCCGTTACCGTGATCATTGTTATCACTGCAGGATGCAGCTCTACAACTTGGACTGCACCTGGAGCAACAGCTTACCAAGTTTGCAGGTCTTGTGATTGCCTGAATTAGCAGGTGTGACAAAGAAACGCTGTTGCCATGGCAGATCCGAGTTTGCCATGGTTATGAGCGCGGGCGTTAAGGCATTTTAGAAGACGCTGTTCCAGTTGGCTGGTGGAGTGCGAGGCAGTTTGCACCAGGGAGGCCTGAAGATGTTTTGACTATGTAGCTTAACCCTTGTGTTCTGTTCGGTGCAAAATGCACCGGATTCAATTTTCACCTTAAGAAAAAAAATATTTCTAAACATTTTTTTGGGCTGAAATTTAAAATGCTTCGATCATTTTGTGTGAAGAACACAAATCTGAAGAAATTTTTGATGCAGGACCACCGCAGCCCCCCCGTGCATTACACAATGACCCGATCAGAAGGAGTGTGTAGTCGGATGTGACCAATGTGCCATGTTTACAACCTATTGGGTCTCCTTGTCAGTTATGAGGGTTATTTGCATGTTTTATGATCACCTTGAAAGTAGTAGAAGTGAGCAGAAGTGAAAAAATCTTATAGATGTGGATTTATGAATCCATAAATATTGTACGGGACAAAATGACCCGAACAGAAGGAGTGTGTAGTCGGATGTGACCAATGTGCCATGTTTACAACCTATTGATCGGTCTCCTTGTCAGTTATGAGGGTTATTTGCATGTTTTATGATCACGTTGAAAGACGACACCCGCCCGTGTTGCTGGGCAGACAGAATATTTAGAGCTGGAGAGCCAGTCTCCCACTTTGCGCTGTATCCAGGCGAATAAGTTGTTAGACGGACCTGGACATGATTTTTAGGCGAGAGAAGGTTCTGAAATTGACGCAGAGGAATAAATTTCATATTTGGAGGACATCATTACTCTCTGGTGAGCCAAAATAACGAGGAAAACGGGTGGAGCATTGCGTCAGGAGGCGCGTCTGAGGACTGGAACCGTCGGTCACAGGTTGGTAATTCATTTGCAAAATACAGTCTGTTTCATAAAATGTGCTCTGGGAGTGTTAGATAGTGGTTCACATTTATAATTTATTATGTTGTGGTTACCCCAGGGCGAGCCAAGCTAATCCGGATATATTGGAGTGCGTCAGCGTGCCAGGAGGACGGCACACGCACGTCACCGAGGTCGCGCACGTGACAGGTAAGTCATCTCCCACCAACTAACATTGTGTCTGAGGGTATACTAACTGAATTCGAACAGCACAGCTGAAGAGAAACACACAGAAACACAGCTCTGATAGCTGCAATAATATGCAAATTAGGTGGCACTGAGATGTGAATTGCCCTGAGGGGGATCTGGGAGAAGTGAGAGAGTGTTTGCCTGTGGCTCATTCAGGCAGAGAAGTGTGAGAGGCTAGTGGAAAGGAGCTGAAGTGAAATAATCTGACTAGGTGTGAAGAAATGGACTTTATTTGTAAATGTATTAATTTTTCATCTGGCCACATGTTACAATAACAAAAAAAAAAAAAAAAAAAAATTGTTTCTGTACCAAAGCTCATCATTCATCTTCTCTTGACACCTAGGAGAAAAAGGATGGTTCGACAAATAAAAGTGTTTAAAATGACCGTCGACATGTTTTTTTTTGTTTGTTTTTTTTTTTGCTAATACACATATCCAGTGCTACACAATCAGCGCCTACTTTAAAAAGCGGTTCAATAAACAGACGACAGTACCATGATGCGTGAAAGGCCAACGGATGTCTGAGGAGACCTGACGCACTCCCCTGTGATAAAAGAAGATGACAGTTCAGTGCAGCGGGTTTTTTTGGAGATCCCTGGTGAGGCAAATTTGGCAATGCCAGCCTGATTCAACCATCCACGCAGGAAAAGACAGTTTTTGTTGGGACAGCAGAGCAGCTCGACAGTCCTAAAGGGTTGTACAAAAGGTTCCTTTGCTTCAGGCTTTCTGAATAGAGCGGCAGAAATCCCCTAATGTTTCCCTCCTTTTGTCCAAAGACGAGGCGTTTCCAGAGAAAAGGAAGGATTTTAGTGCTGCACCTGAGCTCTCAGCCATGACAGTGCTGAACCAATAAATACTTCATGTCAAAATGAACATCCACCACATATGAAGAGAGACAGAGGAAAAAAATGCCACATGCTTGCGTCACGGTTGTTGTACTAAACCGGAGCCGGACCAAAAGAAATCTGAACAGATTGCACTGAGATCACTGGAAGAAGACACTAAATCAGCCGGCATTACTCTGTATGTTGCAAGCACCGGTCTCTCAGACCACCTCTGACACGCACATATCTTTCCCTTTCCCCTGGTTTCAGCCTTGGTCCACCTACAGAAGGCCCCACGCCAAAAGATGTGCCCCCTCCTGAGTGGGTTTCCAGACTGAGCATGGCTGTGGGCATCAATGTAGTCTATTCAGGAAACGAGCAAAATGGGCATAAGATGATTTGGATGTTAGAGGGTTCCAACTCCGGCCTGCTATTTTCCACTTTTCTTTGGCACAGCACCTCTCTTGGCCTGCCACAGGTGGTTGTGGATGGTCAGGGCATCCACACTGACTGACACAGTCTTGGCAGGGATGACGGTGAACTGCTTTCGGTCTGAGTTGTACTTGTACAGCTTGTCGATCATCTTCTTGCTGATGCTCTTGGGCCCGGTGCCCGTCAGCTTCTGTATCTCCTCAGTGTCAGGGAAGTACGAGTAGAGCGCCCGGAACTGACAGCCGCCGTCACGAAACAGGATCATCAGGTGGTTGGACTCACACTTCTCCAGCTCCTGGTATAAAAGAAGGTGTACCAGGAGTTAAAAAAAAAAAAAAAGATAATATGGAACTTACATGACATAGGTACATTTAAACAGCAGACTTTTCAATGTAAGACTTGTGGCATGAAACTTGAAAAAGCAGGAACTGAGCAAAATGAGTAATGTAAAAATCTTTTCCTGGGAATTTACATTTGAAAAAACTGGGTCATGTCTTGTATCAGAAAACTACACATTTCCATACAAATACATAGGGTGAAGTTAAATTACTATTAGTTGTCAATCTTCATTCCATGGACTAATCAGTTATATGACTAATTGTTTCAACTCTGAAGACTACACCAAGGTAACTGTACTGAGATCAGAAAACTGCTCCATATAGCATTGGAGAGGCAGCTTTAATTATTTACAGCGATTTTTCTGACTACAGTGACTTTACATGAACAGATGGTTCCAACAGCTCCTTAAATCAGAGAACTGACCTCTAGGATCTGGTTCTTCTGGGGCTCATTGACTTTGCCAGCCAGGCAGCAGTGCGAGATTGCATTGTGGATGATTGGCTTGTTTGACTTGGCGCTGGGCTCCTTGAAGAGTTTGGGACCTAAATGAGAAAAGCTGGTTAGCCCCCATTAGTCTTATGTAACAGGAAGAGAGAAACTACTTAGTCATATGATCATAAATTAACTGCAAGTCTACTTCATGCAACAGTGACTGAAAAATACAACAAGCAAAACACTCCAGCCATGTTTATTGTGACTTATTGATCTGTTTGTCATTGACCAATGGATACCTGAAAGAAAAAACTAAACAAAAAACACAACCACAGGCCTGTTGTCACAGTATTTCATCTGAGGAAAAAAACAACAACAAAATGAAATGTGTGCACTGACCAGTGTATTCAGCCATGGAAGTGATGGAAGATGCAGTGGAGCCGTTGTCCCAGTCTCTTTCTGCAGCTCGACTGTTGTTACGACTGCCTGGAAACGACTCCACAGAGTCACAGCTGGAAGACAAGACCCAAGGAGGTACAGGTCAAATGATGACATGACAGTTTTTGTATACAAAAGTACTGTAAATCACAAACAAGAACAATGCACAAACTCACTCTAGTAGAACCCCCCCC